GAACCTTCGGAAAAAACACCAAAGGCGGGACCTGGATTCAATATAAATACCAAGACTTTGGGGACTTGGTTGGGGCCTGAGAATGACTGCCTCCAGGCCGCCCCAGCGCTGTCACCCTTTGTATCCAGCTTACTTTAATAAAACGTAGATGAGAAATTGGCTGGCCTCATCTATGACACTGCCACTGCCAGGGTGGATATGATTGGGGAGGTGGGAGCCCTCATCCTGCGGGCCAGCCTGCCAGGTGCTCCAGGGTGCCCAGAGAAGGAGCTGGTGCATTTCGTGCCCTGTCACCAGCTAAGGCACAGCGGGGGGAACTGCAGGCTGCTGTTCAGGGCTCCTGCTCTTGCCTGTCCTTCTCGTACGCTGGGAGGCAGAGTGGGAGCTGGCAGGGCAGAAGTTTGGGGAGGAGAAAGAGCAGGCTAGGGACACGGGAGCAGAGAAAGGGCACAGGTCTGCTGCTCATACAGTGGCTCTGCCCAGGAGCGGGCAAGGGCTCTGCTCAAAGGAGACCAGAGCATCAGGAACTATTCCTTAGCTGAAGAGACATAAAAAGGCTGGGAATTACAGAAGATGGCTTGCATTCCTGTTCAGCCAGGTGCTCTCCGCAAGAATTTCCCCCAAGGCACTTGTGGTTTGGTATGCGGTGTTTATCCAGCTGCAGCTCTTCCTCTCTGTGGCTAAAAGCTGCCTAGCAAGAAARGGAACAAATGTCCCTCTTTGGTGGTACTTACAAAGCAGCTTGGAGAGGAGGCATCTCTGTATTGCAGATCTGACATCCCTGGACATCCCTGGAGGCCCCATCCACCACCGAAATGTGGGACTTGCTATACCCTGCTCCACTCAGCATTGTCAGAGATTGCAAGATTATTAAAAGTAGCAGTTGAAAACAAAGTAAAACTCTCCACAGGCCTCTTCTGACTGCATGTTCTCTGCTGGAAAGCTCCATGATCCCTTACTTAAAGACTTCTTATACAGCAAACCATACTACTTACTGAAATATTAAGTAGCTTTAGATGCATTAAAGCCTGGAATGGAAAACAGATCCTCCTCTTACACACGTGGAAAGGAATAACCACGTTTAGCCACCTTGTTTGGGTTCCCCTGTGTCAAACCCTGACTAAAGCTGTGGTGACAGACCCTACTGAGCAGAAAACACAAGAAGATTGAGCTTGAGCAGAAAACACAAGTCTGTAAGTTGGTATCTTTACAAAGGAGGGAAGCACTTGCTCCCCCTTCTTTGGCTGATGAGCAGGACAAAGGAACAAAAGCAGGTGGGAGACTGAGTGGAGCCATGAGTGGGGGAGAGACTGATAGGAGCCTGGAGYGAGGGAGACAAAGGAGTTGGGTGACCTTAGGTGAGAACGCATGGAGGGAGGCAGCGGGAGTTGGGTGTAGGCTGGAGGGGAAGGCAGTAACTCCTGAGTACCTTGGCCAATGGGGAAAAGGAGAGGGCCACCTCGGCTAGAAATCAGGATAAAAAGGGGGCTGTGTCCTCCAGCAACTTGAGACACCGCACAGGGAGATGCCCGGTGGACTCTCCCTTTATTCGAATGAAGTTTTAGGTCTCCTCTGTCTCTTTTTTGGACATTCAGCTCCTGACAGATTTTCTGCACACTGCCACACACTGAAAACACACCACCATTAACAATTCTACCCTGTTTTACAAAAAGCTGATGTTTGGCTAAACTTATTTCTCATTCTGTCTTTGCTTTGTCATATTTGTATAGATTAGATGGTTCGTATGAGAGATTCAAAGTTGGGCAC